AACAATTATTTTCTCGGTTCATTTTTAGTTGTTATAGTTTATTTTTCAAGAGTCAAACTGAGTGAATTTTTTATCAATATTTAAAATATAGTTTCATCATATTAATAATAGTTCAATTTACCTCTTTGCAAATTAGTTAAATTAATTCTCATAGAGTAAAATGTGACAAATAAAAATAAATGAATAAAGTAAAATTCAATTATAACTTAGATTAAATATGTAGGTGTGAATATATATATATACTATGTTTTTGATAAGTGATGAGTGCTTTAAAGAAAGAATAAATGAACACGCTTATCATTATCATAATATAATTTGAAGTTTGTGAGGGAAAAAAATGAGAATACTGCTTACTGCTAACCAAATATTTAACGACCCTTTTATGCCTAATTTTTGTTTGGTTTCTCACTATCGATAAAAAAAATAATTTGAATTCGTGTCGAAATTAACTTTAGATAAAGCATTCTTTACTAAAAATTTGAAAAAAAAAATTAAAAACTTTTTAGGTTTTGATGTAAGAAAAATTGACGGAGCTCGATTAGTTTTTTCTATCCATCCAAAATGTATATATCAATTTTTTCAAATTATTTTTGGTGCGTTTTATATGTAGCTTTCAAATATTTTCTTTGTATTTAGAATTAGAGTGACTGAGTTCGTTAATTTTTCGTGAAAATTTTAAAATATGTGATCAGATGCTTCCTCCAAATTTAACAATTTTAATCAACTAAGTTCTCTCTTTTTCACTAAATCAATACTAACCTAATTTGCTATTACTTATTCTAACAATCTTTTCTATCTATCTTTAAATTCCTTCTTTTACCGTGAATATTTTAAGATATTTGACTAGATACTTCATTCTGATATAATATTTCTATTAAATAAATTCTCTTTTCTTCATCGAATCAATACTAACTTACCTATTTCTGCTCTTACAAAATTCAAAAGGGCCGATACCCAATTCTCGATCACCCAACCCAATGTTAATTTTTAAATTTATTTGTTCGTTAAATCAAAGATACTCTATTTTAGTAAATTATAAAATTAAAAATACTCAAAATTACTATATTTGAACAATAAAAATAGACCTAAAACACTCCATAAATAGACAAGCACAAGGACCAGAAAGTGACATGTTGTCAAAGTGGGTCCCACAAAAAAAGCAAAAAATGCTGACATGTCAAATTATTCCAAACTACGTGGCATTTATCTTAATTAACTTATTATTATACCCAGCTTCCTAGACACAGCCAAAAAATATTACTACTATTATCCATGAGAAAAATGAGAATGAAGGATGTATACTATTTATGGTGTGTATAAGTAAACACTTAAATTTGTATAAAGTTGAACAAATAGACATATGTGTCATACGTAACGTTTTATATGTATTATGTCACGTAGGACATATGTTTCTACTTGTTCAATTTTATATAAACTTAAGTGAAAGTATAGTAAAATTAGCCGTTTTATTTCTTAAAAAATGTGTCAAGTTAAATATAGTCAATTATATAGCAACTAGTACCATTTTATATGAGAGGAGGAAATATTTAGATTTAAAAAAAATATATTTTTGGTACAAGAAAATCAAATCAATTTGAATGTGGTCTCGGTAAGTTTCACTTTAGTATAATAGTTCATAAATCACATAGAAGATCAATAGAAATTATACTAAGCAAATCATGTGCGATGAACTTAATCGAAAAACGCATTCAAATGATATCAAATTCAGAACTCACTATTTAAAAAATTATTTACTCAACCTACCAATTAAACCACCGCAAAAATACTATATAAAATTATCATTTTGTACTTTGTGGGAGGAAAAAAAATACTTCAAGGCCTAGTGATATTTATTCATAAAAAAAAAGTAAAGATTTTTAGTTCAAACTTTGTCATAATTAATTAGATGAAAAGAGTAGGAGAATTCTTGTAATATTTCTCTTCTTTCAAGTCCACACGCTGATGCTGATATATATATATATATATATATATATGAATTTTCAACAGTCTAATTTGATTTTTTCTTAAATTTTATATAGTAAAGACTATAACATATAACAAATGAAACAATGGTTTAAACGTGGTACCTTTTCTCTTATATTATATAGTATTTATTTATTTATTTATTTTTATATTTTGATAGTAACAGATCTAGTCAGGTGCATTTAGTCACATGAGCTCCTTAGATGACACCATTTTATTGCTTCCACATGTTAAAGACGTTAGCTCTTACGTCCGCGGTATACGCCAAACTAAAATTTAAAATTTATGAATTTAGAATTTAATATTTTAAAAAGATATTTGAGTTGATAGTAACAGTTCAAATCAGTGCATATAGTCACCTGAGCTCCTTCGATGACATGTATTATATTTATTGCTTTCACATTTTAAAAACGTTAATTGGTTTTGACGTATGCTGTAAAGGCGGTATTAAAATTTGATGTTTTGAAACTTAAATGATCGGGAAAAAAAGTCAAATGGATCAAGACAATGACATCCCTTTGGGGACATCTGATAAATTTGAAATGATATAAAGAAGATTATAATAGTCCTTACTATAGTGGTTGAGTCAGAATTTTTATTAAGGAGCGTCAAAAGAAAAAAAAACTTCGCTACCTAGGGTTGAAGATGCAACTTTCTGAAAGTTTTGCAATACTTAACTATTGTGTAAACCTTCAACCAGTATCAAGAGGTATTCGATACAAATAACTATAAAACTAAATTTGACTTATAAATATAATATAATTTTCACACTCCTCAAGGATAGGTTCGATCGATCCGCCCCTGGTCCCTGTGGAAGAATGGCCACACAAATTGAGAAATGATCCTTTAAAATAAAATAAAATAGAGGCGATACTCAATCTACATATAACAGTTTTTTCATGCGCTATAACTCTATAATGATAGCGCATGATAAAACTGTGTTATACGATCCTTAAATCCCGCCCACAACATCTTCTTCCTCACTGGTCCTTCTAATTTGATTTTTTCAAACAAAACCTTAAATTTTCAAAAATAACCTCTTTATTTTATCGGAAAGTAATTTCTATTTTGTTAGTAAAGTTGGTTAATTTCTAGTCATAACAAGAAAATCAAATTAAGTAAAGTAACACGCGTAAAGTAAACATAGTCTCACTAAGCATGCTTAGCTCCTTTAATTATTTTTTCTACAAAAACTAGGATTAATTATTGACTTTTGCAATGACCAAAGTACAAAAAATTAATATTAATATTGACTAAAACTCCCTGTTTTTTTTTTTTTTGACTTAACTAAGAATTCATCCGTACTACATTTTATTATATTTTTTTAGAACGTACGTACCAAAGATAGATTATATACTTTTACTTTTGGACTCCCATCTTTCGTATTGTCCTAACAATTTTTAATCATAAAAAATCATAATATTTATTGATAATATAAATAACAACAATTATATACAACATATAAAATCAACTCTCTCGTACATATGTGTGTGTGTTAAAATAAAAAATTAAATTTCAAAAAATAAATTAAATTAAACTTATAATTTGGAAAACATGTTGTGTTTAATGATAAGAATTTAAAAATGAACTTGTTAAATTTAAATCATAAATTCACCTCGTCCTAATAATACTCTTTAAATCTTAAATTTATGTATGTCCATCATGTGTCCGATACTCACATTAAAATCTGACTAAATTCAAATTTACGATAAAAAGTTTCACATTAAAAAATAAAGCACTTCTTTACAAAAACGATTTTGCATCCAAAGGACTCGAACCTAATTCTATTGCCCTCGATAAAAATGAAACAAACGATTAGATAAGTTGGATCAATTAATAGTACTTATCATAAAGGTCAACAAGTGGGTGAATATAAACAAAGACAAACATCAAAGTGGGTTGCAAAAAAATAATAAAAAAATACTGACATATCATATTACGTCCAAACAAGTGGCATCTCAAAAGCGTATATATATTCTCTCCGTCTCAAATTATCTACAATATTACTTTATACGTCTCTTAAAAACTTATTAGAACGGTTTTTTAACTATCTTACTCTCATTAATATCTTAAAATATATATATTTTTATTCATTAAACATTTACTCTATTAAGGTGCTTGTAATTTTTAAAAACAATTATTAAAAATAAAATAAAAAATATAATTTTTTTCATCTTAATATTTAAAATGACAAATCATTTGATATAACTATTTTTAACAATAATCATAGATGAGATGAAAATATAAACATGTAGACGTATTAAGAGAAGAGAGATAAGATGAAGAATGAAATTATACGTGACAAAGTGAAGTAGTCTCCATAGCAGATAAAATAAGGAAATCGAAACTGAAATGATATGAGCATATAGAGAAGAAATGCACAAATACATTAGTGATAAGGCAAAAGTACCCCTAGACCATGACCGAAATCCCAGAGACACACCTTAACTAAACTAAAGTCCTATATTACCCCTTGAGTTTTTTTTTTTTTTTTTTTGTAATTTTATACACATTTTTTTGCCTACGTGACCTCCAAACATCTCTCACACACCTCACCTAAGTGGAGTCACGGAACGTAAGCCAAAAGGTGCACGAAAAATGAGTTCAGGGGTAATAGGACCTTAGATTAGTTAAAGTGTGTCTCTGAGATTTCGATCATAATCTAGAAGATTGACTATAGGAGGTTTAAGAGATGTAGAAGTAAATTGGAATTTTTTTTAGTTGAGTTGATTACCTCAACTATATTATTTTCAAAATCACGATGGATAATTTGAGACGGAGAAAAATTAAGTTATACCCCAGCTTCCAGGATACATCCAAAAAATATAATTTCATCCCCCACGAGGAAGTTAAATCAAACGTGGTCCTCTTCTTCCTCTTTCATCTTCTTCTAAAATACCCCTACCGCGTAGTCCACAACACGGCCTGTTGACCTACACTCTCACTTCACTCTCACACAACATATATATAGAGCCGCCAATTCCAAATTTTAACAACAACCCACATCAAATTTCATCAATTTAACTTCAATTTCAAAAAAAAAAATCTTTAAAAATTGATTAAAAATGGTGAAACCCAATTCAAAAAATACAGAATTTTCACCTTCATCGTCATCGTCATCGTTGTATCGGGGAGTAAGGAAGAGGAAATGGGGGAAATGGGTATCGGAAATTAGATTACCTAATAGTAGAGAAAGAATTTGGTTGGGTTCTTATGATACGCCGGAAAAAGCTGCTAAAGCATTCGACGCCGCACTTTTTTGTTTGCGGGGTAAAGGGGCTAATTTCAATTTCCCGGAAAATCCGCCGGAGATTATGAACGGAAGGTCGATGACTCCGTCGGAGATTCAATCGGCGGCGGCACAGTTTGCGAATAATACAGAACCCGAGCTTATCCGGGTCGGACCGAGGGAGAATTCGGATCTTTCTTCTTCCTCATCGGAAATATTCCGGGCGGAATCGCCGTCGGTGTCAGTTTCCGATAGAGTAGAAAGTGAAAAGACGGAAATAACCTTGGGTAATGATTTTACCAATATGTATCGGGTGGAGTCTCCGGTTTCCGGGAGGGTAGAAAGTGAAAAGACGGAAATGTCCTTGGATAATGGATTTATGGACATGTTTTCGTCGTTGGGGACAGTTAATAATATGTCCGATTTCGGAATTTTTCCGGGGTTTGACGATTTATCGGGTGAATTTTTTATACCATCACCGCCACCACAACCATCGCAAATGCCTAATTTGGAATCATTAGAAGAAGAGAATTATTTGAACTACGATGGATTTCAATCACAAGGGACTTCATTTCTTTGGAATTTTTGAAGGATCTAAAAATTGTTACATTATATTCATTAATGGTTAATATTATAAGTATAAAAATTAGAAATGGTACTAATAATTAGTATTAAATAGTACTTTATTTCTTGATTTTGTGGACACTTCTAGACATTTTTTTGGTTGCTAGAATTGTTACAACATATGTGATTTTCTATACATAAGAGGATGTACTTTTTTGACTAATCGATATGAAAATCACTTTTTATTAGTAAAATTGTTTGGAAGAGAAATTTATTTTATTATTGATTGAGTTGGATAAAAAATAAATAACTAAGTGCTTGTTTGTATGTATTTATGAAAAAGTAACTTATAAATCAAAAGTTAAAATTCATAAGTAGATGATATCCTACTTAAAAGGACGAAGGAGGTGTATACATATATATACATATTTTCTTGTATATTATATTTCCATATTCCATATATGCTTAATTATCTCCCATATATATATGTGTGTGCGCGCGCGCGCGTGCATGATATATTAGTATTAAAAACACTTTTTAACTTAATAATCCTTAATGGTTAGAGATGGCAATTGAGGCCGGGTAGGGGAGCTTCTCAATGAGGAGGAGCAGGGCTAGGAAGGGCAAAAGATAACTTTTGAAAATATTTCAATGGGACAAGATCGGTTTGGGTTTGATATAGTTGATCAGTGGCGGTGCACGTGAGCTAGTACTTTTTTTTCACTATAGTGTTAGAGTTATGGTAGGATTTTTTAATTAAATAACATTTATTCCGTCTCAAATTACTTGATATGTTTATCTTTTGCACAATTTTTAAGCAAAAGTTAATAAGGGAGTAAAAATTAAAGCTTTTTTAGTTTTCAGAATGCTCTTGGTTCTTGCTTGGGAGGTAAAATGAAACATTTTTGTTTTAAAGTGAAACTACAATTTTCTCCATTTTCTTGACAAAAAACAAAAAAAAATTGCGAGCAAATATATGAATCTAGAGTGACTACAATGGTGTAAAGGTTAGAGCTTTTTTTCAGTTTTCTTGGTTCATCGTTCTTGGGGGTAAAAATAAACATACGCACGCACGCAAACACATAAATTTTAAAAGTTTTTTTGGGTAGAAAATATAATATTTTTCACCTCACATCGTTGTAATAATGGAGAAATATAATAATATTTAGTTAATTGTAGCATCCTTTCTTATGTGGCTATTTATTTTGTTGCCTCACTTATATTCTGATGATTATCATGAATCAACATTATTATTTTTATATTTACTTTTTATTAGTCATCTTTCACTATTTTTATTATCGCATTAATTGAATATTCTAAAATCTCTCAAACAGTCAAACCTTCTATATTATGCAAAATTTATTGTTGTGTGTTTAAAAAAAGATCAATTGTTTTGGTGTTTTTCTTCAAATTTCGAGCACTAAAACTAATCAACAATATTTTAATATCACTACATCAACTAATCAAATTCAGTACAACACTATTTCAATTTCAATATATAATTTTTTTAAAAAGAGTCAGGTTTTATTATTCTGAGTTTCTAACTTCATATTACTATATTTTTCATTAAAAAATTACATTGTTTACATTTTTACTTCATAATGTTCACGTATATCCTACCTCTGCAGTCATCTGTAGGATTACACTTATTATGTTATAATTATTCATGAATTTATATGTGTCAATTAAAAAAAGGCCTCTATATAAAGTTTGGCTCTAAGCACCCATCCACCCACACATGCATGTTAAGACGGCCCTAATTAAAATCTTAGCAGATCATGACTTGTCCGTCTGAATCCGCTCTATTGTCATCCCTATTTATAATGGTGGTTATTGAAGCGAAAGGTACGTCCTACATAACAACTATTAGACGAATAATGTGAATTGACAGTGAATGTTGGATTGATAAAGTCCAATATACAAGATTAAATAAAACAAAAAACAATCACATTTGCTAGAACATACAAAAAATACACATTGAGGATAAGATAAAAGAAGATTATTAAATTGGTTTGATCATATCTTATGTAAATCTAAAATTGCACTAGAGAATGTTATTCTGAAAAACTTATATATTATTAACATCAATATGAATTTTTAATAAATATGGAGCACAAAGAGAGATAAAAAGATTCATATGCAACTTTTATTAGTTAAAGGATAAATTATCTTGTTTATACGTTAATTTTGAACCTATTACTTTTGTTTTGAGATTTTTTGTGGTGTAAATGTCTTTTTCAGATCTTCTAATATAGTTTTATGACAGAAAAAAAAATTAAAGATTAATTTTAAATAAATATAATAAAGTGCTTGATTTATTTTATTTGTAGAGGTATTAACTATGTGAGACATCTAAAATAATTGCTGACTTTTTGTTTAGTATCACTTGTCTAATACTATTTTCGTCCATTTTTAATTATCATTATTTTCTTTTTTAGAGTCAAACTATAAAAAGTTTTCACTAATACTTTATGATGTATTTTTTCATTATATTGATATGCAAAAATTGCAATTTATTGTATTTTTCGTATAATTTTAGAATATCTAGATTTTTTGTTTAATATATCGAATTAATGTAGTTTAATTTCACTTTGAAAATTAGTCAAATTTACTTTCGAAAAGCATAGAATGATAATTAAAAAGAGCAACTTTCACATATAGCAAACATAAAAATCATATTTGTATGTTATAACTATAGTTTGCATAATTGTACTCCATAACAAATTTTTTGTTTGCTATGGAGCTTTTGATTTGTATAATTGCTAAAACATCCAGATTTATACAAATTGTTCAGTTTTGTATAAATTCATTTACACATTGTAATTTGTATAATAAAATATGTATATGTATAATTATAAGTGTATAAGACGAAAATATATGTATTTGTATTTGTACATATACTTTTCTCTCACTTTATACAAAGACAAACACATTTTATACATTTTATACCAAAATTGTATACCGAATCAGATGGCAAAAAAATTAGATGTTTGCTGTGAATTATAATTAAAATAAACTATGGCTATAATATTTAATTTGAATTAATAGTTTGCTATTTCATACAATTTTCAATGATGGACGGAGAGAGTAATGGTCAAAAATGAAAGTTCCAATTATGATAAATTAATTATTCTTTTCTTTTTTAAAAAAAAAATAACAAGGAGAAGTACATTAATCATAATTTTAACATTACAATAAATTCATGTCAAATATATAGATGATCTGGACATTTTTAGTCAAAACAAATTAAGTAATAATTTGACTAGAAAGTTTTACACTTGTCAAATCTACATAAATACAATAAATTCTCCTCTCCAAATTTCATCTTCTAGATAATTATGACAAGCACACTTTTTTAATTAAAATTATTAAATAATGAAATGGCATTCATAATTTAGGGGTGTGCATCAGTCGGTCCGATTTTATATATTATCCATTTGATTTATCAATTTTTAAATACGTAGCAATAATCAAACCAACAATATATATTATTTCATCAATTTTTGGTTTATCAATTTTGATCCTTAACGATACTTTACGGTTTAACCAATAAGAAAATGCGTATAAAACACACATATATGACTTCTCCAATAATTTAACGGGACAAGACAATAATGTAACTTTATAAAATGCTCATAAAATAGAAACAATAAAAACTAACATGAAAAGAATTATACAAGTGTAACACAGAGAAATTTAAGAGGAATAAAATTCTTACTTTAGGCTTTGACATTTTGTATAATGTGAAGTTGTGAACTCAAAGTCACTATAAAGTGTGAATTGAAGGCTAAAGAGCGTAGACAACAACTAGTAAGTTATTGCGAATAATATTTAATATTTATGTACAGGTAAAGTAGTAAGTTACTACTGTCTCAATGAACTATCGATTTGTCCAATAATTCAATATTAAAAAATCACGATTGAACTGGTAACCCAATAATGTTTCTTATAAAACCATTAAAAATCGTTAGCCCAATAGCAATAAATCAATGACATTATTTTTTTCGATTTATTGATGATTCGATTTTTGCACGCCTCGAATTCATATAATTTTAAAAGATAAATAATAATTGACCAAAAGTAATCATATTAACACCACCATAACAACGCGACAAAATGAATGAAATTAATTCACTTTTGATTAAATATTTCAGTTTCGACTCTTTTAAATAGAGAAACTTTTTTTTAATTTTATTTTATAAATTCGCTGTAACTATTCTTCCTAGGCACGCAAGCTAAATCTCACTCCACTATATAAATTCTCACATTGCACGCAAGGTAAATCACACTAAGCAAATTCCATACAACAAGCTCAATCAAGAAAACACTGCAATTCTCCGTCCCCACTGAACTAATACCATGCTCAATCAATTCGCCCAGGCTCGTCAGTCCTTCAAAGTAAATTGCATTTCTTTCTACAACAGTAGATTTTACAAGACATAAGTTGAATTAATTGAATCTATCAAAGTTGATTATCATATAATTTTTAAATTCAAATAATTTAGAAGACAGAAAATAATTGACCAAAAATAGTCATATTAACACCATCATAACAACGCGACAAAATGATTGAATTTAATTCACTTTTGACTCATTTAAACAGAGAAACTTTTTTTAATTTTTATTTTATAAATCCGCCGCCACTATTCTTCCTAGGCACGCAAACTAAATCTCACTCCGCTATATAAATCCGCACATTGCACACAAGGTAAATCACACTAAGCAAATCCCATACATTCAGAGTAAGTTGCATTTCTTTCTACAACAATAGATTTTACAAGACATAAATTTAAATTAATTTAATCAATTAAAGTCGAATATCATATAATTTTTAATTCATATAGTTTTAAAAGAAAGACAATAATTGACCAAAACTAATCATATTAATACCACCATGACAACGTGACAAATGAATGAAATTAATTCACTTTTGACTAAATATTTCACTTTTGGCTCATTTAAATAGAGAAACCTTTTTAATTTTTATTTTATATATCCGCCACCACTATTCTTCCTAAGCACACAAGGTAAATCTCACTCCACTAGTTAAACCCGCACATTGCACGCAAGGTAAATCGCACTAAACAAATCCTATTCAACAAGCTCAATCAAGAAAACACTACAATCCTCCTTCCCCACTGTACTATCACCATGCTCAATCAACTCACCCAGGCTCGCCAGTCCTTCAGAGTAAGTTACATTTCTTTTTATAACAATTGATTTTACAAGACGTAAATTTGAATTAATTGGATCC